GGGTTTAAGTGGAGAGAAAATGTTTTGAGAATGATGAGGGCAACAAATGTACAAATGTGCTTGACACAATGGATGGATGGATGGATTGTGATAGTTGTACGAGCCCCCAATAAAATGATTTAAAAAGAAAAAAGATATTTAAAGTATATATATTTTAAAATGCACACATAAATATTTCAATGATCTAACTTTTAAAGCATATTTAAAGGAAGTTTGTTGTTTAAATACAAAATCTTTCACATTAATGAATAATTCATTGTATTTAAAAGTCACCCAAAACAGAATCTCAAAGATGCACAGTATTATTTGCTTTAAAAAAACACACAAAAGACATAAAAGTGTTCATTGAAAATTTAATATGTATTAGGAAGCTTTAACTCAAAAGCCAACAGCATAGTAAAAAGATATATTATCTGTGTTCATGGCAAAACAGATTTCAAAATATATTTTCTTTTAAATGTATTGTCAGTACACAATCCTTTATAAAAGTTGTATATTTTTTCCTGTCAACGCAGTCATTACATTTATAAATACAAGATTTACACAGCACACCATCAAAAAAACTAAGACCCCATACAAATGGCTGTATTTCATACATAGAAAACTTTCAAAGGAGTGTTCTATTAAAAGTGGGCCTTATTTATTATCTATTTAATGGTGCAACAAAATACATATAACTTTGTAAAATTTTCTTTGTCCACAAAGTATCTCAAAAATTAACAAGACACTTGTGAAACTGAACTTTGATAAACAGTAATTTGGAAAGGAATCTGATGATGTGTATGATGATGTGATATTCAAAATTGAGAAAAACAAACTGAAATGAAGATCATGATGGAAAGTGCATACACATTTGTGAAGGCGGGAGAAGGACAGATGGAAAAATTATTTCAGAAATTAGACATGGGAGTTGTGCAAAAGGATGAGTAGTAATAATGGCACGGGAGCCATTTAAAATAATTCTGTTAGCCTTTACCTGAGTCTAGTACTAATTGCTATCCAGATTAAGGAATGGTCACTTCATTGAAAATACTTTTCGAACCACCCTCTGACTTGTATGTCACCACCAGAATGCTCGATGTGTCTTTCTTCTGTAAAATCACTTTGGAACAGGATCGAGATACTAGGTCCAGGAATCTGAGTTTGTAGAGCTACATGACTTAAATTTTCAGAAAAAATTTCCTTTATCTGGTCAAGAAAATCACTGATCATATATATGTGTAGAGGTGTATATGTGGAATTGCATTCTAGATAAGAGTAGTAAATAGAAAGAATAAAAGGAAAGCAAAATTAGGTTTTCCTTTGACCTTTGACCAAAGGCAATAGATCCCTGATACTGAGTGAGTGACTTATAAGAGTGGCTTGTCATAAACACCTATAGATTATGAAGGTCTGTGTTCAGAGAAACAGAGAAATAAAATAAGAAGGAATTTTTCATGTGAAATCTCGCCAGAGGTCGCAGTCCTACTACAATCCTATGTATTTGTTGAAAAGGGGCTGTCCTCTGGAATTACTAAAGGAAAAGCCAGAGACATGGCTTTTTCTGTTTGAGCTCAACTTCAAGAAAACCTTGAAAGGTGAACATCATTTACAGGAAAGTATTCCAAATCTTAACTTGTTCTAATGTATATCCATTGTTTAATGCATAAGAAGGAAGCAGGGGGAAACGGAGGAATGTGGAAGGAGGAGTAGAGGAGGGTCACTTATCAAATATAACCCTGAAGGATGCTAGCATCTCTCCTCCAGCACCATTAGGTCTCTGTGTGGGGGGATCCCTCTAGGAATTTCAGAAATGACACCTGCAAAATCACTCCAAGTTTACAGTTCAGTGCACTGATTCCCAGGCTCCTTAAAGGAAGACAGTTCCCAGACGCTGCTACCTTGCAGCAGCGGCTCAATGTCTTCATTGATGCCCCGTTCTGGGGTGTTGGTCAGGCTGTCGTGGCTACGTTTGTGAATTCCTCTGGTTTTACTGTACTCAGGGATAAATAAAGCAACCACAAAAGACACAAGAACTATACATGCCCCAAATAAAAATGGTGGGCCTGGAATGACAGCTCCCTGAGGGGTATGGAAACAAATGGAGAAGAAAATTCAGTTAGTTTTTTCAATCTAAAATTAGTCCTACATGACCCCAAAAAAGCACATTATCAAAAAGTTAGGCCTGGAAATCTCAAAAACCACGATCTTAATAAGTGACAAGGCAAGTTCTAGTAAAGCTAATGTTTGGAATACGACAAGTGGCAATCAATGACTACTCTCTGTCCCACTTCTAAATAGCTTAACCAAGCCAGCATGACTTTAAGTGACAGTTGTTTATTTTTAATACAGTTTGATCTATAAACTCCTGTACATGACCATGAATTCTAGTTTTGTGTGGAACTCTATACTTACTATTACTTAGACATAAGAAGGAAACAAGATTATCAAATACAGAAAATGCTCTAGCTCAATATTTAAGCTAAATTTTTAGATTATTTCATATTTTCATTTGCCTGGGCTGATGGAAACAACCAAAAACTCCAATAACAGAGGAATGAATAGAATATAGCAAACTCTGAACTGTATTAATTGTACATTAATGCAATGGAATATTACGCACCAATAAAAACAATGAGGACTTTTAAGCACCATAAAACATGGATAAAACTACAGAACATTATGCTCAGCAATGGTAGTCAATCTTATAAAGATAAATATTTAATGACACCATTAAAAGAAAAGTGCTTTTTGTACTGAAAAAACAAAACTCTGAAGATAAGGAGACCAAGAACTGGGGTGAGGGCAGGCCTAGGGGAGGTATAAGAAATAACAGAAATGAGAGAAAAGATGGGAGGGAAGAGAATAAATGAGAATCACATTTATACGGGGTTCAATGGGGTATTATTGATTTGATTTGTTGAGATGGGCTCTGCAACTATATAGAATGTTTTTTTAAAAAACCAAAATATAAAGTAAAACAGAAAAAACAGGAGTGAAGACCAATAGCCTTAAAAACCCTCCAGAATCCTTACCCTTCAGATCTGAATAATGGTCTGAGTGGCAAAAAAAACCCCACCAAACAACAGAGGACAAGTAAAACTGAGATGGACTTGAGAGACTCATTTCAAATACGTGGGGAAAAAAGAAAGAAATATTTTATATCAGAGACTTAGAAAGCACTGAACACAGTACTTACAACTATCAAATAGAACAGTCATAATTCATAAATAAGAACTTGCTTCAAATTTAAGGTCAGAATATCTTGCACTAATATGATACTACTAAAGTTATAAAACTAGATGTATTACCTGCAGGGCAACCTCATTAGAATTCAAAGCAGGCTCCATTTCTGTCAGTTCAACGTGGAACATGTAGAATATGAAGCCATACAGTGCAGGCCCCATACCATTGCACAGTCCTCTGATTCCAGTTATTATTCCCTGAGAAACTCCTGAGTAGAGCAAAAAGAAGCAAGGAAGTCAATCTTTACAGTACAATAGTCTCAGCTTTGGAGTTTCATAAGTGCTTTTAAAAATGTTTTCAAAATAGTTTTGGTTTTAATTTAATATAATTTATTTTTATGTATTTTTAAATGAGTATCTTTAACATACTCATTTAATAGTCTGGATTCAGACTGCAGAGAAAATATGAAGAAAGCAATTATTAAGACTTAGCCCAATATATTTCCATTCATTCCACAAATGTTTCCTTAGGTGTTACCATGTTCTTTTATCTGCCCTAAATCTAAAAAGAGACAAAATGATAGTGATTTCTGAAACCTCTTCTGGGAAAAATATACTTAGAACTGTAAAATCTACCTATAAATGGGGAGGGGGGGGGAAATAAAAAGCAAGATTTTAATATCCCTATTTGCAAGCAATTTCCAGTTTCTCTTCATCGTAATTTTCCTGGTCTGTTCATTTAATGGTGCTTAACAATAGCATCTGCCCCATGGGTGGTACACATGCTTCCTATGTAGAGACTCCACTTCTCACACCTGCTGTATTCATTCTGAGTGGTGTATTCTGTTGGCCTATACTGAAAAGTTCCAGAAACACCAATTTCTGAATATGTCATTATTTCTAAAGTAAGTACAATTCATGTTTTTGTAAGTCAAAAATGGTCAAATATTGGCAATTTGATTGAATTTAACCTAATACAATATGTCCTGCTCATTTTATATGCTGATACTTACAACCATCTGTAATGCTGGGTATGAAAATAGCTACAGAAAATTTGTGTTGAGTGACAGGAGGAATGGACAGTGTGTCAAACACCAAGTTTATGCTAGTTCTCCATGATACTGGGGTCCAATTCACAACCGTGACCTCATGTCAAAATGTGAGGCAGGCTAAGTTCTCACAGCCACAAGTGGTCAACAGGTGACATGATTTGAAAAAGGTTCTACGTAGGAATGTTACTCTCTGATGTGGAAGGACAAGTCACAATGAGTATACCATCTTTTCCAATCTAGATTGTTATTAATACTTTTTAAAGGGTTCTTAAGAATTTTTTTAAAAAGGCCCCTCTGAATTAAGGTGAGCTATTCGTAGATGTAGAAAGAAAAGGGGATTAATTCTGCAGCAGGAACTACCAGACAGGTAAGACAGAAGCATACTAAAGACTGAATTAAGAGCGTACATGGCGAAGTGCTCCTCTCTCTATAAAACACAAGGTATTCAAGTTGACTCTGACCCAGAGTAGTCCTATAGGACAAAACAGAACTGCCATGTGGGCTTTCAAGACTGTACATTTTTATGAGAGCAGAAAGCCTCGTCTTTGTCTTGTGAAGTGACTGGTGGTTTAAAACGGCTGACCTTGTAGGGAGTAGCCCAATATATACTCTCAGTTACAACAATCAGACAAATGATCTTGTCCCCTCAAAGGGAACCAATTCCTAAACTAAGCTAATAAACTCTGAGCATTAATTTTGTCTCTACTCTGTATTCAATTACAATAATCAGACAAATTATCTTTTCCCGCAAAGGGAATCAACTCCTAAATTAAGCTAATAAACTTTGAGCATTCTACTTTAAATAACTCATTATTTTACTAACTGTTCTACAATTTAATAAGCCATCTGTTTAAAAGGAGTTCGAGGAGGTATCACCCGCCCCCGCCCCCCCAAAAATTGGAAAAAAGCTTTGTTGGGCAGGGCCTTTTCCCCTCCAGGTGAGCATAAAGCAACTCTGTCAGTTAGTGCACCCAGGGGGCTGCCTTCGAAGGTTCTCTCTGGCCACAGTGAATTTTTTCACGAAAGCAGTTTCACTCAAACCTTTATTGTGATGGCCAATTTAAGAGGACAGCATATAACTGTGAAATTTTGTTTCCTGTTTGGGAAAAAGTGCTGCAGAAACTGTTGTGATGCTGAACACAGCTTACAAGGACAGCGCTATGGCAAAAACTCAAGGGTACAAGTGGTTTCCTTGTTTCAAAAAAGGTGAAATGTCTATTGATGACAAGCCTCGTTCTGGACATCCATTAACTTCCAGAACAGACAAAAATGTTGACTCGTAATGCATTTGGAATTCTTTCCAACAGGTCGGAATGTTATTCAGGTTTTCTATGTAGAGGTTCTGAAAAGATAGTATAAAGGTGTGTGACCCAAAAGCCCTGATTTGTGGAAGCAGGGGGACTAGTTTTGCCACCATGACAATGCATCTGCTCACACAGCCATGTCAGTACACCCATTTTTTAGCAAAAACCAGGATGCCTCTCTTGCTCTTACGAACCTCCATGAATGAAGAGGGACATGAAAGGACGGCAATTTGACAATGTGAAAGAGGTGAAGAAAAAACAAGGGATGTGCTGTCAGCTACCTTAACAGATCATTCTAAAAAACGTTTCCAAGAATGGAACCACAGAATTGACAAACGTATTAAGTGTAATGGAGAGTACTTTGAAGGTGATAAGTCTGGTTTTTTAAAAAAATTTAATTAATAGCTTTAAAAAAAATTTCAGTTTTTTTTTTTGGGGGGGGCTAACCCCTCATATAGTCTAATTAATTCTGATAGTAATGCCCCAAATAAGTCAAAATTGAAAAGGGAAGATGGATAACTATTTCTAATTCCTAGTATTCTAAGCTGATAAATCCAAGTTTTAAAAATATGAGTCTAAGATCAAAGCAGAATATAGGCCCAAAGAGAACTATTCTTCCCCTTGAATTTTCCTTTTTGGCAGGATAAGTAGGTATGATCATTGAGAAGAAGAGACAAGGCTGCAACCGCTGGCTCTATATAGTGGCACCAGCGCTTCCTGTTTTTGGTAGGCAGGTTACAGCTGAAGAGGAAGGAACAGCAAACTCACCTTGCTGATCGGACTCTGCATTCTGTGACACAAGAGCACTGATGGCTGGAAATGTTATACTGGACATGGCAGCCACGGTCCCTGCTGCCCACATCATCCTGCAATGACAGAAAGGACATACTGCAGGCAGGTCGGCAGCCCAGCCCAGGGAGGTCAGTGCTCAAAGTATAATCATGGACCAGTGTTCTGTTTTCACGTACTCAATGTTTTCCTCTTATGACACCGATTTCCCTTTTTAACTTCGAAGGCTGCATATCACACTGGTAATAATGATCACCTCAGAGCTAGGACAGAGCTGGAAGAATTCTATTTTTAATTTTCATTTCGTTCAAAATCTTGTCTTCTCCCTGGTTTCTTTATTACCAACTTTAGATATGATCCGTGAAGTTAATAAGGGGATTTATTTTGCTTTTATAAGTACTGCATTTCCCCCATTGATTTTCCACTTTTTCCTTTGTACTTAAATGTTCGTCTTCCATTGGCTTGAAGGCTGTTCAGTTTCCAGTGCCGGAACACAGCCAAGGAAGGTACCCTGCGCCACACTGAAAAATGAAGGATGTGAAATTCTCTTCTCAATGAAGGGTGATAGCTGTTAGCATGAAGCGTGATTGTGAGAAAGAATGCGGCCCCTAATTGGTTTGTGGCCTGCTTGGTCAGATTTCCCTGGTGTTGGCGGACATCCACATGCTTATGGGAAAAGAAAAAGCTTTTATGCCCACAAAGTGTTTTCAATGTTGAAAGGGTTTGATTGAATCACTTATTACGTTGAAGTTCTTAGAGCTAAGAATCATCTGACAAGAAGTCACACAGAAACTCTTTTCTCACATGCATTTATTCACCAAACTGACTACTAAAGTTAACTAATTTCTTTAAATTATGTCATCCATTCACATGTATACAGTGAAGAACAATTGTAATATTTTAAAATAGGGACACACCATCTGGTATTAACTAATGAGGCTTACAAGCAAAGAGTACCCAAGATCTCTCCCCCACTCCCTCCTTTCTTTCACATTTACTTGTGGAGATTTCGCGAAGCCTAAAACAAAGTAAGTATGAAATTTTTTGGTAAACTTTTTAATGTGAATTAGGTGAAGGTTTACAAACAAGATTATAGTTCTATGTTAACTAATTCATACACATTCTGATTCAACTCAACTTGCAATCCCCTCAAAGTACCATCACTTATCCCACTACTTCACTGCATTCGGTTCCATTTCTTCTTCTTTCCTAACCCTCTGAATGCTGTCCTTGGAGAAATGTTGGCCTTTTACTACTTTTTAAAGTATTAATCTATTTTTAAACAATTTTCCTAATTTTAAGTTAGGTGCGGATTCACATTTCAGACCATCAACTTTACATTCAACAGTTTAAACTACTAATTGAACTCTAAAATATTTTACTCTTCACCTGCTCCTGGCTTGCTCTTCTTCCTATTTTGGACTACTGTCTTCCATTTCACCCCAGTTAACACCTGCCACCGTCTAGCCCCATGCTTTCTTTTTGCACCTTGTGCCCACCCCCAAACTCCAAAGTTTGTTTTGTTAAGAAGTTAAGAAGTTTTAACATTTCTGTTTTTAATTCCCTTATATTTGTGGTCTCATATAATATTTGTCATTTCATGACTGGCTAATTTCTAGTAGTATATTGTTCTTTAGTTTCATCCATGTCATGAGGTGCTTCATGATTTCATCACTGCTTTTTGTGATGCCTATTATTCCATTGTGCGTACGCACCACATACTCTATCCCTCCTGTTACTGGTGGGCATTTAGGTCGTTTTCATCTTCCCACTGCTGTGAACAGTGCTGCAGAAATGTGGGGGTGCGTATGTCTCTTCGAGTTATGACAGTTGCTGCTCTAGGACACAGAAAAGGAATTACTAGGAATTGGAATGTCTATTCCGAGTTGTCTGAAGAAGTGCCATGTCGCTTTCCATAGGGTGTGCATATTTACAGTGGCACCAGCAGCACAGAAGGGTTGCAATCTCTCAGCAGCTTCTCCATCATTTTTTTAAACACTTAGCTATTATTGTCAGTGCATAGTGGTATTGCATCATTTTGATTTGCATCACCCTGGGGGCAAGTGATTGTGAACATTTCATGTTTGTTGGCCATTTGGATGTCATCTTTGAAAAACTGTAAGTTCATCTCCTTTGCCCACTTTTGAATTGGGTTACAAGTCTTCTTATTGAGGTGTTAGTTTTCTACAGATTTTAGAGATGACTCCCGTATGTTGTTGCCAAAGATGTTTATTCCAGTCTGTGGGGTATTTTTTTGCTCTTTTGATTAAGTCTTTTTTTTCTAAACCACTGTATTGGTAACTAATGCAGTTATCATATCATTCCATAGTTCAAACACATCAAGCAGTGTTGTACAATTGCTGCCACAATCATTTTCAAAACATTCTTTTCCTTCTTGAACTCCTTGACATCAAGCTACCTTTACCCCGTCTCCCGTCACTGCACCCACCAGGAACCCTTATTCTACTTGTTGTATCTATATATTCATCAATCCTGGGTTTCATATACCAAAACCAGAAAAACATGTAATGAAAATTCAGCACAATGACAATGGACTTTTGTTGCACCTGTTTCTTACTTTTAGTAGGTTCAAGTCAACTACTTTATCATGGACTGTGTATGTTTCCTTTACTATATTTATAGATTGCTTAAGAAATTCATTGTTAAGATTGTTAAGAAATATATATTCTATTACTATTTAGTCGAACATTTTTATCAGGAATGGGTGTTGGATATTGTCAAAAATATTTTGTGTGTCAATTGATATGATATGGATTACATTGATTGTTTTTCTAATGCAGAACTATCCTTGTGTGTCTATTAGCAATCCCACATGATCACGTGTACTATTTTAAAATACATTTTTGGACTCTACTGGCTAAAAATTTGTTGAGAATTTCTACATCCATGTTTATAAGGAGTATTCTGTATCTTCTATTTTGTTAATATCTTTGCCTGGTTTAGGTATCAGAGTTATGTTAGCTTCATAAAATGAGTTTTGGAGTTTGTTATCTTTTTCCATATTCCAGAATGTTTTGTGTACAATTCATGTCAACTCTGCTTTGAAATGTTTGGCAGAATTGCCTGGTGAAACGCACCTGGCTCTGGCCTTTTTTTTTTTGGTGGAAGTTTTTAAATCAACCTGATCTAGTTCTCCATTGTTACAGTCTATTGAGGTATTTTTCTACTTTAGTCTCTGTTAATTTGAGTACTTAGTGTATTTCTACAAATTTGTCCATTTCATCTAGGCTTTCATATTTTTTGGAACACAGTCTTTTGTAGTAAGGTATTATTAATTCACTTGGATATATTGTGATGTCATCCTTTTAATCTTTTATTCTTGATATTTGCATCTTCTCTTTCTTTCCTTTAAGTTTGTCAATTTTTAAAATTTAAATGTTTATATAATTCAAAAGAATTATTAAATATATTTTTTTACATTGTGCAATTGTCACCACAGTCAATTTGAGATAATTTCCTTCATTCTTGCATTCTGTATTATTAGCTCCCTATTTTCCCCCAACATCCCCTATCATACACTAAGAAATTATTAATCTGGTTATGCTTGTGATAGATTTACAAATCCTGAATTTCATATAAAGAAAATTAAACACACACATATATGCATGTATATAACTATATATGTAGTTATGTATATATTTAACAAAAACAAGGAAAAAGCTCAAGCCAAAAGAAAGAAGAATAAAATAACTAGAACAAGTGATAACTGGGTTAAAAAGGAAAAGCTGTTGAATTTTAACCTAAGTATATTTGCAGCAATCTACTTTTTTTTTCCCTTGCTGTTCCTATTATTGATTTCTAATGTTATAGTCTTGTGGTCTGAGAAAATGAATTGTAAAATCTCAATATTTTAAAATTTATTACATTTATTTTGTAGCCTACTATATGTTCTATTGTAGAGAACGCCCAATGTGCACTGGAAAATAATGTACACTGTTTTGTTGTTGGTTGAAGTGCTCTGTGTATGTCTAGCAGATCACATTGTTTAACTGTGTTTAGTTCTTGTGTCTATATTAATTTTCTTTCCTCATGATCTGTCCTTCTTTGACAATGATGAATTCCCCAGTTATTGCTATATTGTGTATTTCTTTATTCAACTCTATAGACATTTTATTAATATACTTCAAAGGTCTTTGTTGGATATGTATGTTTATTGTGGTTATCTTTTAGTTCTATTGTACCTTTAATCATTATGTAATGCTCTTCTTTGTCTCTGATGGATCTTACCTTGATATCCTCCCTTTTATTGACGATTACTCCTGATTTGTTGTTGTTGTTAACTGGATATGTATGTTTCTGATGCCTTGATTTTTTTAGTTTAGCTTTGTCTTGTGTCTACGGTGTCAGCTGCATATCGATGGTATTATTTTGCTATTCAGTTACAATCTCGACTGGTGCATTTAATCCATTAACACTCAGTGTCTTTATTGTAGGTGTGGATTAGTTGCTTCATTTTTAAGTATGTTTTCTCTGTGGTATTATTGGTTTCATTGTTCTCCATATTTCTGTGCTGTTTTGAGTGTGTAGATATTTGTGTGGAATTGTCTCCTGAGACAAGGGAAGAATCTACCCAAATAAAGTCTTTGTTTCTTCTTTTTTTTAAAACAATAGCCCTTCTTTTCTTTATTCTTTTCTAATACTGCTTTTTTCAATTTTCTTTCAAAATATTTTCTCTTCCCTTATACAGTATCCTTCCTCTCTTTTACCCCTTTCCTCTTCATTTTCCCTTCTTCCTCCTTCTGTTGTGCTTTCTATTATTCCTTTCCAGCATCATCTGACAGACACAACTACTCCCACACGACCTAGCAGGCATCCTAACTTTAATGACTGCAGCACAATGTCATGGATACAGCAGACAGTCTCAGTTGATACATGAAACAAAACAAAATAAAATAACAACAAGAAAAACAGGCACAAACTAGTACAAAACATCCAGAGCCAATGGAATTTTCTAAGAATAGGCTCCGGAACTACCAAAATAAGAATTCAGAAAATAATGATATCCTGGTTTTCCAACAGATGATGAAGGGGTTTGAGAGAACAGAAACAACAACAA